TGGATCTGTTATAAATTTAGACTACAACGCAGCTGATGAAAAGTGTCTATAGTTAAAAGTATGATTCCAACTTATGGAGTCTGCTCTGCAAACTAGATTGAAAAGGAGAGCTGCAACCATCAGGGAACGACCGCAATAAAATGATTACTAGTGTTCAGCTCCTTTCAACAACTCAGAGTACTGAAGCGGATTCTATTAAGGTGGCCGGCCTTTACCGAGGGGAATTTATACATTGTGGTTTCACTGCCTCCCATTTCGGAATTTCCGAGGCTCACCGCAGTGAAGCGTTGGCGATAAAAAAAAGTGGACGAGTAGGGGATCGAACCCTAGGCCTTCCGTATGCGAAACGGACGCTCTACCACTGAGCTACACGCCCCGTGCGGGGTAGGTTTTATAGATAGAATATTCTAGTATAGAAGGGTGATACAAAAGGTTGCGCCGCCCGGGAATCGAACCCGGGTCAATACCTTGGGAGGGTACCATCATGCCACTAGACCAGCGGCGCCTTGAGGGGACGTTTTTAGCTCCCACGATTCAGGTTAGATGTGTCCTTAATGGAGTCCCCGCCTTCCTCTCGGGGAAGGGGTGGAGGTCCTGGCCTATGCCCGCTAAACTTTTTGTGAAGGAAGGGAAGGGGAAACTTTAATCAATTCCGTCTTCGTTGAGACGCCACGGCTTTTTACCATTCCCTTGGGGTGGAGGTTATTGAACCGCCCCTCCCGACAGTCACTCAATCGAATTAAAGTTGCTTCGCACGCGTTTTTGTTTAATGATTTTTGACGAGCTATTTCAGGCTTGACAAGCACAGGCTCTATCACTTGTCTTTACCTTTCTTGTGAAGCGCCGTCAAAAGAAAACGATGAAACGATCAAATTCTGCAAAAAAAAAAACACTGAGACCTCTTCCTAATTTTAGAGCCAGCTACTCCTAGTCTTTTCTTTCAGTTGGGTTGCTAACTGCTGAAAGGTAAGCGCGCTTTGCGCCAGCTCTCTCGATCTACTCTCTATTTGGTTTAATTTTTCACCTCGCTCTTGAAGTTTACGCATTCCTTCGCTCATGAGCCGCCTTGCCTCTGTCAAACTCACATTTTCGCGTTTCGCAATTGCTTTTAGCTGGAGATAACGACTCCCAGCTGGCGGAGCAGAGTCTGACGTCGCCCGAGCGTTGGATTGCAGCAGCTCCTCTCGTTCCTTCAAACGAATTTCCTGCTGCTGTTGGGCTCGGTTCGAGGCATCGAGCTCCTCTCTAGATGCCTGTATTTCGGTTCGTGGTTTTGTGATGGGTTTCGCTTTTGATGATCGTACCGCGCGATCAGAACTCCCTCGAGGGGCTTCCGACGTTGATGATTGAACACGGTGGAATGTCTCAAATTCGAGCTTTTGTGCGACATCCTCCCAAGGCACCGTCAGGAGGCGCTCGAAGAAGCCCCTCTCTTGCTTTAAGGTTGGTATTGGTGGGATGAAGCGGGCGTAGGCGCAGTAGTTAGACGGAACTGTTTGATACCTTGGCTTAGGGAATACTTCCCGCTCAATTATAATGCTTTTGTTGCACGCACCAAGCGTAGTCTCGATGCAAAAGTGTCCCATCACCCCACTATCCATCCCCAGCATGTAGAGGTGCAACACGTTGTTGATTTCTACCGTGAGGACATGAAGGTGTTCCTCACCGACGAAATCCAACGTGGCGTGGCCTTGCATCCGCGGCTTTGCCGTTTGGCTATCAAGAATGTTGATCCAACGCCAGCCGTTAGTATCACATGTAATCACAAGCAAAGCGCCGCGCCTGCGCAAAACGTGGAAAGAGTCCAACCTACGGGCCGGGTCGATGCGACATACCACTGGCGTGGGCAAACCACCTGAAGAAAACGAACTGTTGTTACTGGCATTCTCACATCCAAGTGGGAAACTCGTCTGCGCAGCCAATAAAGCCGTCACGTCGACCAGGGTGATCTCACTTCTGCTGATGAAAGCAATTGTGATTGGTGAACATTCCTTGCGCGGTCCACCGGAAGTCTTCTCAGAAAGGTTGCAGTTGGCTGGGAACAAGTCTGGGTTGAGTAGTTGACTACACAAATCCCCTGTTGGTGTGGAGTAGGAAAACTCTGCTCTTCCAAGATGCCAGCGCGCGCTTACATCCACAATCGTTCCTGGTAACTGTATGGCTGGCTGCGCATCACCGGTGTGACCACCCACAAGCCAGTCCAACGTAGTGCCATCCGCACTGATGTTAAATGTAATCTGGAGCACGGAGGCCGAAGAATCAATGGAGACCCATCCCGACGCCCCTTTAGGACCTTTCTCAGATTTCAATGGAGCGTGTTTTACCCTAAAACACCAGCCGCCGTCATCCGCTGAAAGGCCAAACCCAATCATGAGGGTGAAAACACGCACCCCAAGGGCATCACTGCACACGACCTCGCCATACTCACCCACTTCATCTGGTATATTAGCAGCTTCTAGGGTGACTTCAAACTCTTGAATCTCATCACAAAAGTTAGGCAGCAAGGGCGTTAGCGCATTTGTGACCCTTAATTCAGTCGCATTTAGTAAATAGGATGGCTGCTGATATGTGACGATGCGCATGTTGCTTAGATTAAACACCAAAAAACCCTTGCCGTCCGCGAAGAGGCAAACTACGCAGAAGATTTTGCCATCCACAGCCGCGCCAGCGGAGGCGTTGGAAGCCCAAAAAGCCTCTATGCACACACTTGTGGTGTCAGCTGGTGTTAGTTCAGGAGGAATAAGAATCATGAACGGCTTCCCATCCTCACTCTTCGCGCCGCTTAAATCCACCAACGCGATGGAGGAGTCTTTTAGAAGCAACAACAGGCTCTTCCCGGTCTGATAAATTGACATCACCGAGTTGGTTGATGACGGCTCCAGGTGAGCGTCGACGACGATCGCCTCCTTTACCAAACGAGAGTCTGACCTAGTGCTGCTTTCCAAATGGAGCGCCGCACTGTCCAAATTCCACAACAACGCGCCACCGTTTCGGCGAATGTCAAATTTCATCGCCATAACGCTCGACTCCGTCGAGTACACACGGAGAATGATCTCGTTCGGCAAAAACGCAACATCCAGGGCCGGCAGGGCTTCCTCCAGCACCAGCGTCGCGGCGTCCTGCGCCATCGCGAGAGTCTCCCATGGCGTGCAGTTCTGCAACACCGTCGAGTTCACGGCGAAGATCTCGTTTGTTTGGGGGGATAAACAGACCGCCTGTGCGGCGTCCGTAACCGTTGCGAAAATCACTCCACGCCACAGCGGAGTCCGGGAATGCCCGGCGGAATCGCACGCCTCGGTTTCGCTCAACGCCTGCGGTAGCAACGCGTCGCCGCCGCGGAGGAGCTGCTCCCATAAGGAGTGCGGCGGGACGCGCTGGAGCTCTGCGGCCAGCGCGCGGGTGTGGATCGCGGGCAAACGTAGCAGGATGGCGCGCGGGAACCACGCGGCGGACGCACTTAGCTCTCGAATCTCCTGCAAACTCTCGATCCCACCCGTTTCCTGACTTCGCTTGGCAAGAATGGGCTTTAAGCCACTAGAGCTCGTGATCAGGAGGGCTTGCAAGTCAGTATATGTCAACGTGCTAGCCCAGTACTTAGATATCGCACAGGGTTCAACATGGAAAATCTTGAAGTAGCCCTCCGCATCGGCGTCGTCGGCGCAACGCCGTGCTTTTTGAGGCTGCTCCCTTGCTGCTGCCACGTCGCCGGTCGCGGCGGTGTACGCGTTCAGGTACGCGATAACCTGCTCCCGTCGCACCACCTGTTTTAACTCAAGCCAAAGGACAATCTCCACGATATCGCTCTGGCCGTGAATCAGCAAGTACATATGACTGTGCTTGTCGGTAGAGGGAACCCCATCGAGAGTGGCGCGGGCCATGTGAATGCCAACACGATATTCGTTATACCAAAAGGGATCGCTAGAGGAACTTTGTTGAACCCCCCTCGTAATGCTCTCGCTCAGATCAACGGTCCAGTACAAATCGACGATCTTGTTGCGCTTCTTCGTCTTATCACACCATACGATAACTTTGGTAGCATAAAGTGTAGCCGCCACTACATACATACCGCCCGGGGTGATTTTGCAGGTAACAAGGATGCCGCCTGTCTGGACGGCGAGGCAGCGAGCGTCAAAGAAGCAGCTTAAACGTCCCTCATCCACGTACCACTTGCAAACCCCGGGTACCCCGGCCACAACCCCGACGAAAGCATTGGGGTTCTCGGGGTAGGAATCCATCGAAAGCACGGAACCCGGCACGAAAAACCTCTCCGCCGCTTCATTGGACGGACCTCCTCCTAGAGCGCCGACATCCTCCACAAAGGGCGCGCAAAGCTCACGCACGTTGGTCGAGACGGCAGTCCACGCGATCTGCGAGCGCTTCCTCGTTTCGTCCGCCGCGGGCTGCAGATGAAAGTACGAGACGATGCCGTTCTTGTGGCCAACCGCCCCACATGTGAGGCCCGTCGGCAGGTGGAGGCAGGTGAAGGCGGCCGTGTGGTTGGGTGAGGAGAGCATGGAATCCTCCCCTCGGGTGCCGTAATCCGCGCAAACTAACGCCTCCGGCGCGAGCAGCAGGAAGGTGGTCGTCCCGGCGTAAATAAAGCAATCCAACCAGTGCGTGCCGTGATGCATCAACGGAAGAAGCCGACGCGTCAGGTCCTTTCCAACCACCAGAACGCTTGCCTCACTGCCGACAAAAATGAATACCCCTAAAATGGGGTCATACTTACAGATGTGGTAGTCCGACATCACAGTGGTGCCATCGGCACTCACGCGGAAATCTACAGCAGCCATCAAAACAAGAGATGCCTGTGAAGTCACAGATAAAGAGGTCGCAGAGCGGTCCAACTTAGCTTATGTGGATACCCAAAATATTATTAATTTATCCCTTTGGTATGCCTTGTTTTTGCCTTTAGTTTTTTGCAGTACTTCAGCCGAATCGATAGCAGAAAAGGGGGTGAATTTTCCCTTCTGCGCAAGATAATAGTTTAGTTAAGACGATGATTAGTAAGAGGAAAAAAAATAGATGCGATCTTGGAAATAGTGCTTCAGTTAGTCTGTATGACGAAGAGGAAAAAATGGGCAAATGAGTGTGGGTATGGAAAAAGGAAACGAGAGAAAGTAAGGGAGGGACACACAGCAATTTATGAAATAGAAAGCTATCATTCAAGATACATCCAATTGGCGACCTGTGTGTCGCTTTCACAAATACCGAAATGTAGACAAGTAAGAAAGTGAAGAAGATAAAAGGAAAGATATGAATAGCAATGAAACAAAAACAAAAACACAAATCATCATTTTTTAAGCAACATCTTAAGACGACAACTTTGATAGAAACCCCCTTGATGCGGATGATCTTCGAGTTCATCGACTATTTAGCTCTCTTAATTGATCATTTTCGCACACTAAACGCAATATCACCCTGATCGGGTGCATCTTCTGATGCTTCTCTGCGCAGCTTCATTCGATTTATGCAGTCAAGGTGCGATAATGACCCTTCATACCGCAACGTTGTCCTCATGTTTTCTTTACCCTTTAGATGATGACGCATGGGCATTTCCTGACCCCACCTTCTGTATCCTATCGTCGAGTCACTTGCCCAGGCTCACTCATTTTTGTTTTTTATGGGCAGGTTTTGGCCTTCCTGCTAAACATTGGGTGCGGGGACAAATATGTCTAATGCGACCTTACTGAGTGAGCTGCTAATGTACGCGGCACATCAATGATGATATCTAGCTTTCGAGTTGTACCACATTCAAGTGGCGCGCTGCCGATTCGATGGGTTCTAAAATATTCTTCACAACACTTTGTCCGGATTTCATAACCAAATGTGGGCAAGGGTCCTAGTCAATAGTAGAAAATACTAATTAATCGTGGTTCTCGATCCCTTCTTCTACGCAAAAATAACCGTGTCCATCGTTTTTCTGCTCATTTACCTTAGAAATAACGGGACGAATAAATGGATTGGTAACCTACGTCTAAGCTGTGTGTCTACGTAAGGAGATAGGATGAGGAAATGACAAAGCTCGAGATCTGAAAATAAATTTAAGTTCAGCAATATACTAAAGCATCTCAAAACAGTAAAAGTAATATTAGTTCTCCTTGATAAGGATGTAGATAAAAAGATGAAAAGACAGCAGAAATGTTTTGACTCGCATTAAACTGCGAGCCAACGAACTTACTTTTTTCCTTTTAAATGAATTAGAAAACGATAGTAGTAGCTGAAATGAAATCGCATGGCTCCATGAGGATACTGCTACTGTCACCTTTTTAATATAGTTTTTTGCAGCTGAAAAAGAGCAGATAATTTTTCCAAAAAAAAAAGATAAGTAGGATGGCTATAAATAGTATAAGATAATTCAAAAGAATAAATAATAGTGGTAGATGTGTAAACAAAATGCTGAAGAAAGCAAGGAACCCATAAGGTAATTATGTAAAAGAACTCATTAAATAGAGAAGGAACGGTAGATGCGAAAACTGAGTGAAAAATCGCATCAACAGTAATAGGGTAGTATTGATCTAATACAATCCAGAATTTTTCAGAAGGGCTAAGGTGTATTGTGCGGTCATCAGCACTAATTCCTGTATCTGCAAGCCTATTCATATAGCCCATTGACAACCAAAAATGGGCCTACATGTCCATATAAAGTAGGTACAAAAGGCCTATAGGGACTCCCCACATCAACTTCAACACCGATAAGATGTTCACCGACAGCATCAACTTTTATATTGCTGAATAGCAGGTCTGTGTGTGCATAAATTTCTGGATACCCGGTCTCTAGATCTACCCTGAAACTAAGATTATGATATGAGTTGTTTTGTGTTGTGGCATTGTCAGAGTCGTTAATGTTCCCAGCGCCTGTGGTCGTGGCAGCCTCGTTTTGAGACTTGTCCTCGCTGGGAGGGAATGAATTGAACTGGACGACGCATGACGGAATCATTTCACCTATACTCCGCACCGTCGAAAGGCGAGCATCCTCCAAAGAACTATTCTGGGATTCGGAGGTAACCCGAGTTTCACCACATGAGCCCAGGGCATTAAATTGCGGAAGCGATGAATCGTTCATGAGCATATATTGTGCGAACGATAAAGACGAGGTGTCGACGCTGGAGAAGTTGGGTGGTAAGCGGTCATCAATTGAAGAATCCGGATGGCTATATCTGCCGGATACATAAGGGTTATGATGATACTGTCTATCAGACTGTGTCACCGAGCTCGAAGTCTGAAAAGTATGTCTGAAGGTGAATAGATTTAGACTCTCACTCCACGAGCTTGAAGGTAGCGACGAGAGCCGATGCGGGATAGCTTTGATGCAGTGGCCCAGCAGCCTCGACCAGAGAGGGCGCGCCAGGAAAAGACGTACTATGCTATAGCCCCTGAAGGCGTCAGGGACGATACGGGTCCCCATGCTGAGGTTGTCCGTGCCCCGTGAGGAGGAGGCGAAGTGCATCCGTGACATCTCCGACCCGCCGCTTTGCTGCGCTGGCCATGGAGAGCCGAAGTCCCCGCGCCGGTCGTCGAGAATAACTCGAATGACCGGGAGGCAAACGCCGGGTACGATGCGCACCGGGCTCCTGGCCCATTGAAGCCGCAGCGACACGCGCCGCAGGGGCGCGCCGATCGGGAAGGTCTCGAACTGACGAGAAAAGCACCTCCCCAGGCGGCGGCTGGTATCCCGCAGAAGAAGATGCACCGCGACGTCGGACCCGGTGCCCCGCGTGACAACCGCGACCGTGTAGGTGAAGGCACCCACCCGCTGCACAAACAGCCCACACACGACCGATACTTTGTGACGGGGGAGGTCCCCACGGGCCCGGAAGAGCTCGTTATCGAAGAGGTGCGACGCCATGAGGAGGGCGGCCCGCCGCCAGAGTCCCACGACCTCTTCACGTGGGATGTCCTCCATATAGTGACAGAAGGTGAGGTCGTCGTACTGGGCAAAGGAAGACATGATCGAGACACAGCCCCCGCAAGGCAGCAGAATTGGACACGCCGTCGCAGGCACCCCGGCGATCACGCATGGAGTTTTATACC